ACAGAGGGAATAATGCCAAAATTTCAAATGGTAAACAGAAGAAAAATAGCAATGACTGTCAACTAAGGGGATGGAAATCAGCAGTTCTTTATTGTTGTTCTGTTCTGCAATAGTGCAAGTAAAGATAACTTTGGGAGAAAGATAACTTGGACTGTAATTTTATTTAATTTCAGGGCATGGATGTAGGGTAGGCAAGCTCCAAAACTGGGGCTCAGCCCAGGATGGTTGGTTCTTGGCTTCAACCAGGAAAGAATTCAAGGGCGAGTAGGAGGTGTTAGATAGCAACTATTTTTTTTTTTTTTTTTTTGAGATGGAGTCTTGCTCTTGTTGCCCAGGCTAGAGTGCAATGACATGATCTCATCTCACTGCAACCTCTGCCTCCCGGGTTCAAATGATACTCCTGCCTCAGCCTTCCCAGTAGTTGGGATTACAGGTGCTCACTACCACGCCCAGCTAATTTCTGTATTTTTAGTACAGACAAGGTTTTGCCATGTTGGCCAGGCTAGTCTTGAACTTCTGGCCTCGTGATCTACCTGCCTCGGCCTCCCAAAGTGCTGGGATTACAGGCATGAGTCACCATGCCCGGCCTCTAGATTGAAGCAGCAGTGTCCAGCAGCAGCAGAGGTGCTGCTCCCTGCAGAGCAGGGCTACCCCACAGGCAGTGTGCCCAGAGTGGCAGCTCAGAGGCAGTTCTACAGTAATGACATGCAAATTAAAGGGTGCATTATATAGAAATTTCTAGCTAGGAAAAGCAGGGTAACTTCTAGGTTGTTAAGTTTTTGCCATGGAAAGGGGCTGTAACTTCTGGGTGTTCCACTGGCAATAGTAAACTGACATGGCACAGCGACGGGTGTGTCTTATGGAAAGCTGCCTCCACTCCAGCCCTGTTTTAGCTTGTTTTCGATTTGGTCCAGTGTCCGAGTCCCGCCTCCAGAGTCGAGTCCTGCGTCCTACCTCAGTATGACCAAATTAAGAATATACACTCTGTATGCAATAAAAAAAAATTTAATAATTTGAGAACAAAATGTTCAGCCAAGAGTTTTGAAAAAAATCAAAAAGCTTGACAGTACTCTTGCTGTATAGATAGAAAGAAGAAATGAATATGACAGGAAATTTTTATAGCTTGTGCTTGTCTTTTGGCTTTTTTAGACATGATGCATTTAGAGTCTTTCAGTTGTTCCGACCTCCCAGCTTCCTTTCGAAATGAAAGCTTTAGCCTTCAGACATGAAATACTGCACCCCAGTTGCCCCTATTTTTAAACAGATTCTGCAGAGTTGATATTAGTATAGTTTAATGTTTTAGGCAGAAGTTCAAAAAAGCAATAATTCAATCCCATATATTTACTTAGTCACATATTAAAAGAAATATAATTTATAATAAATATCTGCTTTCTAGTCATAGCATAACAGAATACAAAGAAAATTAGGTATGAGCAGTGACATACACTCATGTATATATGTAATTAAACCTTAAAAATAAAGCTGATGGATTTTTTTTATACCAGTCCAAGAATAAATAATACCTAAGTCAAAGTCAGGTCTTATGAAAGTGCTTTCTTAAATATAATGGGCTAGTTCAGAAGGATAGACCTGCTAAGCTCTCTGTTTAGAAAGAGCTCTCTGTGTCAGGGGGCAGTGGCTCATGCCTATAATCCCAGTACTTTGGGGGGGCCAAGGTGGTAGGATCAGGATTTTGAGACCAGCCTAGCCAACACGGTGAAACCCCGCCTCTACAAAAATACAAAAATTAGCAGGGCATGATGGTGCGTGCCTGTAATTCCAGCTATTCAGGGGGCTGAGGCAGGAGAATCACTTGAACCCAGGAGGCGGAAGTTGCAGTGAGCCAAGATTGTGCCATTACACTCCAGTCTGGGCAACAGAGCGAGATTCCGTGTCAAATAAACAAAAACAGAGTTTTCTGGAATAGATCTGGGTGGCACTGCTAGAAAACAAAATAACTGGTCACTTCTGTGGCGGTGGGGGGAAGGGAAATTCAATAAAATTGATTATTTGGCACTGTGAACACACTTCTCTAAGAAAGATGATCACATTTAATTCTCACTTTCCAATTGTTTGCCTTAAATTTCTTTGATAAGAACTTACGGGAAAATACTTCAGAGATTGCTGTAGTAATTTATATACACCAAAATATCTAATGCTTATATTTTCTTCTGTTTCTTATAAAATATGTCCCTGAAGAAATAATGGATATTTGAAAAAGTAATTGCTGGATTTTCTGGAAAAGTCCCCCAAAGATAAAGACTTTAATTTTTAAAACAGCCATTAGGTTAATATTAGTGAACTCTGGTATACAGCATGTTCCACGGGAGGTCATACTCTTGAGTCAATTCTAAAATAAGCTGTTTATTTTGGTTTGTTTCATGACTATAGGTTGTAGCTTCAACTCAGGCCAATCAGATCAAAACTGCGGATGTTGATCCAACAGAAACTACTCCCTAGTGTAAATAAGTCAACTCAAACTCATGGCCATTACTGGAAAATAACTCAAAGCTTATAGACTCAGCCAAAAGGTAACCTATTAATGTGGGGGAAGAAATCAACCAATATGTATTGTTTTGTGGTTAATCAATAATTCTACCTTCATTTAAGGAAACAAACAATATGTTTGCCATTCTGAATCACAATAAGCAAAGAAAAATTCTACCATTGACTCAAACTTAACCTGAGTACTCATCACAAAGTGTCTGCACCTCTCTATAAATCAGCAAGGTAAATCAAATTCACAGTTCAATTACAGGCAGCCTTGGTTACTGTTTTAAAACTGTTAATGAACAGTATTTGAAGTACTGTTTGTTTGAACAATGACTCAGATTATAGGGTTTCAACTGAAAAACAAAAAGTTACGGTGGTAAAGGTAGCACATCCATCCTCTACAAAATAATGTTCCAAATGACCAACTCGACCTTTGGTTAAAGCAATGATAATCAACATTCTGTTCCACACCATAAACACTCTTACCCCAAATATCTGACATTCGAAAAGAGTCTTAAAGCAAACAAAGGAAGGTGAAGTGAGATACTGTGTTTTTGATGCTGCAACAATACCTAATGTTTTGAATGCTGCAAAGGGATGATGACAAAAACAGAAAAGAAGCTCTTAGTGTTGTTTGGAAAACATCCTGCAGATGACTGCATCTGCTGTCATTAATTTTGCAAAATAAAAAGAAAAGGTAGCCATATTATCTCCCCTTTGAGGTATTGCAGTTGCCCATTCTTCAGACTTCTTTTATGAAAATGAGATTACATAATAAGAAAACAGGCTGATATTAGGGATTCTTTTTGAAAAGCAATCATAGCATCCGTGCAGTTTAACCCAATTCCCCAACTTACTACATTCACATCTTTAATGTTTACCACAATTGACGTTTAAAATATTTAACTCAAGGCACTATAAGAATCTGAAAAGTCAATTGTGTTTAATATACCTTGTTTATTAAAGCATAAAATTAGAAAATATATTTTCAAAAGATTATTCAAAAACTATGATTGAAGCAAAGAAACAGAAGTTGGGATGATCGATGGGTAGTCAGATGGCTTATGTTCAGCCATGCCAGAAAACTGAGCTGTATCCAAATATTTATTGTACTGTTGCAGAGCTCTTTTAAGTCAAGCCGCCCAAATGCACTGTCAGCAGCTCTCAACCTCTGTGTATGTGTGTGTGTGTGGTGGGGGTCGTGGGGAGAGCAGGGGCTAATGGAGAGAACATGTCAAAATGCCAAACTGCAGAGTTCTCTTCATACAGATTCCAACTCTGTAAGTCAGAGGGGGATCCAGGATTGACCTTTGAAATAAGTAACCCTGGTGATTCTGAAGCAAGTGGTCCATGAACAATACTTTGAGAAATATTGTAGCCTTCTCCTTAACTCTTGAGAAACCTCGCTTTACAGTCTTAATAGTCTCTTCCCAACCATTCTCAGGCACGTACACCCCTCATAAAAGGATCCTCCTTGCTTCTTATGGTTTCCTGGGAGTCCCTTTCCAGTCTCTGCTCCCAAATGTTTTCTTTGCCTCACTTCCTGAATCATTTCATTCCACTGGACTGCTTGATGCTTTAGACAGTTCTTTGCTTCTTTACTGAGCTTACCTGATACAGAGACTCTACTTTCCCTGCAAATGCAATTTTCTGTAGAGTATAGACAGTTCTGTTCCTCTTTCAGCGTATATGCTATCAAAAGTGTGTGACATTAGTATTTTGAAAATGGCATAGTAGTGTGATATAAAGAACCTGCGGTCTCAAGCCAGACCTAAGTTTGCATATCCATACTGCTTAGCTCTAACTATGGATAGTGAGAAAGTTGTTTGAGGCTCTGACCCTCAGGCTCCTCATCCATAAAGTGAGTAAGATAATACCTCCCACTTGGGGCTTCAGTTGGGGTTCAATGAGTTACTATCAGTGCAAAGCCCTTTGGAAACTGTAATTTCCTACAGGAGTATTAGACTATTAGGTAAAGTTTTGAACATTTTTGCCCAGCAAAAAGAAAACCCTGCTAATAGTCATTTTTAAATCCCCCTCTTCTATAAAATAAAATATAGAACTTCTAGCTCTTTCTCATGAGGGGTTAAAAAATATAATCCCATTATAGTAATTTCGTTCTTTAGACACCAATAATGCTAACTCTTTAGTGATCTGAAAACCAACTGTTCTGGATATTTTTCACTTTTCATCCCCTTCCCCATTTCATCTCAGGAAGTGCCCACTAAAAATTATACTTTATGGACTCCCTCATTGACTGCCTTCTGGGTGGGGTTGGCCAACAGAGGCACCAGTGAGAGATGGATGACAGGAGGAGCAGTGACAGGGTATTTCATCCCCACTCATTGTTTTGAAATCACATCTCTGGCAGTAACTATGTCCACCCACTAAGACAGTTGCATTCCCTGCAGTCCCAGGGCTCACTGGGTTCCAGTACACTATTTCCTCTGCTCAGCCCGAGTCCTAGGTGACTTAACGGCTGCCTGCTTTCAGTCCCTGGATAGAGCACCCCACCATCCTCTGTTTGATTCCAACCCATGTCCCTGTAACTACTTTTATTAAAGTCTTATCTGAACCATCCGGAATGAATTCCGTTTCCTGCTGGGACCCTGATTGATATAGCAATACAGGAGGCCAACAACCTGCCTGGGAGTTTTGAAGCAGGACAGGAATGTAAGTTCACTTTTATGATCAGGGATTTGTGTTATTGTAGATTATATTCCATTGTCTTATTCTTTATCAAAAGCAGGCATTCATGCTAATATTGAATCTTCGGCCTGCGGGAGCATGGTTAAAAAGATCATTGCCCTAAAGCTAAATAGAAACAAATGTATTCTCTCTCCTGAAAAACGTCTCTGAAGTTTTTGTTGGTGTTGTTGTTACTAAGGGGTACTTTGGCATTGGGGTGTTTTTCTCTTCTCTATACTTTATTTAAATGATGCATAGAGGTTTTCTAGTTGAGGAGCGGCACTGTTTTCTGCTGTTGAGTCGGGATGTAATATAATTTCATTTTTTAAAATATATAAGTTTTTAATGTGAATTAAACTCCCTCAATATTTTTATGGAGAAAAAAATTAATAAAGAACCTATTACCATTGGAAAATAGGCTGTCTCAGTTACACAGTAACTTTTTCCCAATGGTTTTCTTAATATTTATATATTAACATCATAACAGTGCATTACAATTTATATAACATGGAGCCATTTATTGCAAAAAACGATCCATTAAAATCATATCCCCATCCTACAGCCAGACTCAACATGCCATCATGGCTCAGAGGAAGCCAAATGCAGGATTACATGATAGGCCAGAAGCTGGGTCATGGTCTGCCAGGCCAGGTAAGTCATACACGTTGTGTAAAAGAGCCAAGTAAATAGAGAAACACGAAAGTCTCTGTAGAGTAAATGTGCACTCAGGCAATTATTAAAATAAGGATTGTGGAAGATTCTCTTCTCTCCTTTTCTCTAGGCTTATTCTTTTAATAAGAACAAAAGTAAATCAAACGTGTATGCACAAAGACACAGAATACATTCTAATAACTTCAGGGACTCTGTTTTAATTGACTAAAGGGATATATTTCGAGTGGAGAAATGATGTCTTGAGATCCCTTCATTCTATCTGGGTGTTACAACTGATATGGGCCTGTGTCAGGCAAGTTAAGAACAATGCGTGCTATTCTGATGCCTGGATATTATAGGTGCAGCAATAACTAGCTTGCAGAGCTTCAAAGAGCAGAAACGATTTCCACCTTAATAACCCCTGTGGCATTTTTCAATTTTCCAGGCTGCCAGTCAAATGAATGCATGTCTGGGAAGCAGAGGAGACAAGAAAGGGAAAAGATTAACCTCTGAGATCCATGATATAAATTCCATTGGCTAAAATTGGTCATGTGTTAGAAAACAAGCATGGGTGGTGATCGCCCTGTCTAAACACTGTGCACAAATGTTAGAACAAAGATTCTCGGAGAGAAACTGGGATCTCAGGGTCATCTGGCTGAAATAATCTTGGAATGCTAATCACTCATATTTTCTTCATCCTCTAAGTTGAAAGAAACCCAGCAGTCTCCACCTGATGATCTTCACACTCATTAGCCCAAGAGATGGTTCTTAAAAGCCAGCATTGTCTTTTTAAATGAGAAAGGCTTGCAGAAAACACGGACCTGCTACTGCTTAAACCATTGGAACTCAACTGAGCTAAACAAGCAGAACTCTTGGTACTGCCCTTTCCTCATCCTTACTCTGCAGCCTTTCCCCAGGCTTCCTTTATCCATCGAAAAATTAGAACACTTTCCCCCAGGAGGTGAAGAACCTCTAATTACAGATGCTCCTTAAAAAGCTAAGATTACTGCTATTGCCAAAAAGGCAAAATGCAAATAATATGCAGAATGAATTTGCTCTAAAGACGATGACATGTTGCAGATGGCTCACTGCAGTTTAACTTGCTTCTCACATTTCCAGGTACTGAACACTTTCAAATTGTCTTTCAAAATGTCTTTTCAGCCGCTGTTTTCTACCCAGTGCTCCGCCCTGAACCTTTGTGCAAATACTGGGCATTTCAAAAATAAGACAAAGGATCACTCATTTCTCGAAAAGGGGTTCTTGGAAGCAAAGGGAAAAACTGAAATAGTCTGATTTCTGTTTGAAATCACCAGTGCTGCTTCTAGAGTTTGGGACAGAGCCACCTTAATACTGCCAAAGGGCTGCTGTCTTGAGGGGCTACTTAGCCTGATCTAACCCCTTTTTAATTAATTCATCTATTTATCTATTCATTTATTTATTCAAAGAATATATATTATGTAGCTATATGTAAATACTTCCATGATAGATACATAAGAAAAAGAAAAGATAAATGGGCTGGGGCGTGGTGGCTCACACCTGTAATCCCAGCACATTGGGAAGCCGAGGCTAGTGGATCACCTGAGGTCAGGAGTTTGAGACCAGCCTGGCCAACATGGTGAAACCCTCTGTCTACTGAAAATACAAAAATTAGCCCGGCATAGTGGTGCAGACCTGTAATCCCAGCTACTTGGGAGGCTGAGGCAAGAGAAGCACTTGAACCCTGGCGGGGGAGGTTGCGGTCATCCAAGATCATGCCACTGCCTGGATGACAGTGAGACATCGTCTCAAAAAATAATAATAAAATAAAAGATAAGATAAATGCAGTTTATAAACATGTATCTTGCTAAAGAGAGTCTGTCCCCACCTTAACTCATTTCTAGACTGGAAACTGCAAGAGTGTCTGATCTGTCCTCCTCTTCCCATCCATATGCCCCTCCAATCCACTCTGTACAGTGCTCCCAGGTTAGTGATATTTTCAAATGCAGCTCCTGCTGTGTCATCCACTATGTATAACCATCACACCTTACTTCAAGATAAACGTCAACATTCTTAAGATAGTGCTCAAAGCCTCTGGAAGTCTTGGATTGGTCTTAACCTTCAACCTTATCTTGTCCCATTCTTCTTTCATGCAGTGAGTTTCTTTCATTCTGACCTTATTTTTTAAACATAGATTTACATTTGGAAGAATTTTAGATGTACAGAAAAATTGTATAAATATTTCCCATATACCCCTCACCTGTGTTCAGTTTCTCTTAATGTTATCATCCTCCATTACTGTGAAATGTTTGTGAAAACTTAGAAACCAACATTAGTACATTACTTAGTAACTAAACTCTGTGCATTATTCAGATTTCATCAATGTTTCCATTAGTGTCCTTTTTCTGTTTCTGGGTCTAAACACTCTGACCTTCTTTTAAATCTTTCTCCCACCACAGGGTCATTGTGCATACCATTGCAATGCTTAAAACGCTCTCATTTACCCTCACGCCTTCCTCCTAGCCCTCTTTGCTATGTGGTTTCTACTCATTGTTCAGATTTCAGTCCAAAGGGCACTTCCTCAGAGGAGCGTCTCTGAAGTCCAGGTCTAGGACTGGTTCCTTTATTACAGGCCTTCACACAACCATGTACTCTTCCTTCATAGCACTTTCCTCAATCTGTAATTTTACCCTCTGATATGATTGGCTGTGTCTCCACACAAATCTCATCTCGGACTGTAATCCAAATTGTAACTCCCACGTGTCGAGGGAGGGACTGGTGGGAGGGGATTGGATCATGGGGTGGTTCCCCCATGCTATTCTTGCGATAGTGAGTGAGCTCTCATAAGATCTGCTTGTTTGCTACATGCCTGGTGCTTCTCTCTTCTCTCTCCTGCCACCATGTAAGATGTCCCTTGTTTCCTCTTCACCTTCTGCCATTATTATAAATTTCCTGAGGACTCCCCAGCCATATGGTACTCTGAGTCAACTAAAATTTTTTTCTTTATATATTATCCAGTCTTCACGGGTCAGCTAGGGGAGGGGTTTCAAATTCAGGAATTTGCCGGCTCCAGGCCTCCATCCAGAGACCAGAGAGGTTTCAAATGTTAAGCTCTTTGTCTGGTTTTCCTAAACATGGGACAGGTAGTGAAAGCCAAGTGGGGCTCTTTTGTCCCAAATTCCCACCCAAAGATCTGAGAGGAGGGGGCTCTGTAACTCGGGGTTGTAGAATAAGTAGCCATTCCAGTATCCGAGTCAAAGATCAATCACTCCAGAGGAAGTATGAAAGAACTCCTCTCGCTGGACAAGAACATGAATGGGGAGGGAATAACTCAAGGGTTAAAACCTCAGCTGCTCCTACCTGAATGGAATTCCCTCTCTGGGGTCCCCTCCCATAGCAGTGTGGGAGCTGTCTTCTTTCCATCTCTCTAATACAACACTCTTCTGCAGAACTCTTTGAGTCCGTGATATTTATTCGAACAGCAAACTCACCATGCCACTGGGGCCCCTTTCCCCATTCTTCGGGGTTAGAGAGGCCAAAAACCTACAAGCTTTGGGAGCTGGATACACTCCCCCAGTTACATTCTCTTGATGTGATAATTTAATTATTGTCTCTGTTTACAAGTAGACTCCAAAGGCCATGAAAGCAGAAATCTTATCTGTGTTTGCATTGTATTTCCCCAAGACCTAGCATCATCTGTGGCACAGAGTAGGCTATCAAGACAGGTGTTGAATAAATGAATGAGCAAATATATGATGAATGAAAGAGGGGAGAAGAGTGAAGTGATAATAGGAGAAAGCACATTATAGAACATCGAAGTAAGTGATGCAGACAGTAAGTATCGCAGGACTTCAAAAGAGGAAAAGATGAAAGTGAGATGTGAAATTATGTTAAGACTTCATGAAAATGGGAGTGGGAATTTGCCTGGACATTTTATTCATGCAATTAACAATTACTGATTACCTACTAAGTGTCAAGCTCTCAAAGTGTTTTGTTGTAAATAAAATTATACGATCAGTGTGACGGGTAAAAAAAAAACAATGGAGAAATAGGGAGGATGGATTGAAGCAGAAGGAACCTGGGAATTGAAAAAGTCGTTAAGATAACAATCCACCTAAGAAATACTGAGGTCTTGTACTAAGGCAGACATGGTGAAAATTATAAACACTCAACAAGGACTTGGAGATGCCAAACAATAGAATAGGAAATTCCCAGAGGGGATGCAAGCAATAAGAAAAAGTTAAGAGTTACACCTTAGCATGGACATTGGGGAAGCAGTGAGAATACTTCCAGGTTAAAGTAAAGGGCTCCTGATGGAAGCAATGAAATGGAGACTTGAATAGATGAGTTGTGCTTTTGAAAAGTCAAGGTGATTGGATTTTATTCTATTAGTGATGAGTCATTAAACAACAATGACATGATGAAAGTGAGATATAGCATAAGAGAATCTAGACAAAGGGAAAGTACATTGAGAAGCTGCTGCAGAAATCTAAGCACTTGCTTTAGAGTGTTAGCGTTAGAACTATAGAGATGACATAGCTATGACACTTTTAAAAAGAACATTGACTTAAAATACCCGTTAGCATCCACTACGGTATCCTGTACATTATATTTTATCCTTTATGTTTGCAGCTGACCTACTCTTCTTTATGAAGAAAACAACTTGGAAGGCTAGTCGATTGTTGAATATCCATAAATACTTGCTGAGAACCCTTTATATGACGAGTAAATGGAGCATACAAAAAAAAGTACAAGTGATCCTCCTTTGAATTATCTCTTTCACTCTTATCAGCTTCATCTTATCAGGAGAAATGAATCTATGCCATATACTTTTGTGGCAGTCCTCCTCCAGGATGGCCTCCACTGATCTCCACTTCCTGGCATTCGCACAGCGTGGCATCCTCTCCCACGTGGCATTGGGGTTGATCTGTGAGATTTAACACTCAGCAGAAGCCAGAGTTTATCGTTTCCCAGAGTAGGCTATAACAAGACCACAGCTTCCATCTCGGCTTTCTCTCTTTTTCTCAGATAAGCCACTCCAGGGAAAGCAGCTGCTGTGTCGCCAGCACATTCAGCAGCCTGTAGAGAGGCACCTGTGGCGGGAAGGGAGGCCTCTGGACATCAGCCAGCGAGGGACCGAGGCCTGCCAACAACCACATGAGCGAGCTTGGAAATGGATTATCCAGCCCCAGTCAAGCCTTGATGGGACTGCAGCTGCTGCCAACAGCTTGACTGCTACCTTGTGAGAGATAGCGAGCCAGGGCCACCCAGCTAAGCTGCTCCCCGTTTTCTGCCCCTCAGAAACTGCGAGAGATAATAAGTGTTTGTTGTTTCAAGCTGTTAAATTTGGGGGTAATTTGTTACACAGCAATAGATAACTAAAACAACTTTGTACTACTAAACATTAAAAATTATCTAGGAAATTATGTTTCTATCTTTGTCCAAGCTGCTAAGAAGTACAAACTGAATACGATTCTTGATTTCACTTGCCTGAAATTGTTGGTTTTTCCTCTTCCCCATTCCCTTTATTTTTTAATTCTCATACTTCATTTTATATCCACTGACTTTGGTTTTATCCTATTTACACATTTATTGCAAAGCTCTTAGAGACTTTTTTTTTTTAAATCAGATGAGAGACAAAACAACAAAGGAAAGACAGTAAACATTAGATAGGATTCTAGCCACCATCAGAGAGATGAAAAATCTCAGAGAGAAAAAAGAGCAATACAGCACAGCCCGTTACTAGTGTTCAACTAACTAGCAATTGCTCTTAGAATTCAAAGAAATGATACACCAGAAAAATTGTGGTTTTGGTCAATTTCCCCTGAAGCAGACCTTGAGATAGGATTTGCATTATGAAAGTGCTCTTAAAATAAACTGCTAAGGGAATGGGGAAAGCCAGAACAGAATGGGGAAGAAGTCAAGCCAGGGTAATATCTCAACATCTCACAGAAGATTGCTTCAGCCTGATCCTCCATAGGATGTTTGCAGTATAAGTTAACATCTCAGAGATTGTCCTGGGGCAAAGGAAATGAGCTTCCAAGCTTCTGCACCAGTCGCCCGTTGGCCGTGGTCCTCTCAGGGAAGCAAGCTGTTAGGGACTACAGCTCTCTGTGGGACTCTCTGGATGTGTAGATAAAGTGGCGGCAGTAGCCTGTGCAAGTCCTTCAAAGAAAGTTCCAGGTGTCTGTGGTCAGGGGGAAGAGCACACTGAACCCAAGAAAACACACAGAGGTGGTAAAGGGAGCTGAGGGCATCTAAGTAGAGCATCAAGGTCTGCTCTGTTGGAGAAAGTTCCATTGAAGGAGCTGGCTCTTCACCTGTACTGAGCCTTAAAGGATAGGCAGAATTGGTATAGACATGGAGGAGAAAGTATTTTATAGAATCTGCAATTCAAAGACTAATTATAAAAGTAGCAGAATCCACCAGGTGCTCTAGAATGATGGGAAGTTATTACCTAGACTCTGAATTCTATTTCCAGTCCCAAGGAGGTATCCTGAATTCATCTTTTACTTAGGTTATTAAATACAATCATTTGTCTTTAGATAAGGAGTGATAGAAGGTTTAAAAAAAATCATATGCTTCTCCCAAACTTTAGCAATGCTATTATTCATCCATTCTGGTCCTAAAATACAGATACTGCACAAATATCTGCCCTCAACAGTAAATAAAAAGGAAGCCTGGTGGGAAGAGGATGAGACCCACCTACGTGTTTTAAAACTGCCTATTCTATTATCATCATCCCTGGGTTGCAAAATTTGGAAACCATTTCAAATAAAAGATATTTAATAATGTGTCTCTTTTACTTTCTTTTTTTAGTAGAATTTATCACCAACAAGCAAAGTGCAGTAATAGCTTTTCCTCCTATGCATGCTTTAGGATGTGGTCTAACTTTATCTGGAGTTGGGTAGAAAGGCATAAATCATTAAGCCCCGGCTGGCCTGATCAAGAGCCTATCTTTCAGAAAAACCAAGTGTCTAGAGGCTGCCATTCACAGAAACTCTCCCCAAGGATTCATCAACCACCAAACAGAGAGGCAGGCAGGTCAATGACACCAAAATCTGCAGTTTCAGCAGCTTCTGAAGTTTCTGACCAAAAGAAAAAAAAAATTACATAAAATAAAATAAGAGAGAGAGAGAAAAGAGAGATGGTATGAATAAAAAATCTCAAAGGAACTTTAACAAACCATCTCAGAATTCACAATTTACATTCTGGAAAGGAGGCTTTTGGAGGCCTACAACATACAAGCTTCTGTTGCTAAAATAATGAGCTACCCCAAGCAGCCGCTGACCTTTATTGTTTTATTAGCTAGGACCTAGTTCCATGTGCTTTAAAAAAATCATTTTGACACAAGAATTTCTTCATGATATCTTTTACCATGTTATCATGATTTATATGTAGACAAACCAAACTAAAAGATTCCCATTTATAGAACACAGGCACTGCCTTCCAGGTGAATACTCCTCTTTCAATTTGTCCTTGGGTACTCTTGTACTTTGGCACCACCAATTTATACCACAAAATTATGGAATTCCAATCCAGATCAGGAACCATTGCTTTTAGGATTAGTGTTCATTTTCTAGGTAAGGAAGCTGACGTTCAGAGAGGTTGAATCGACCTCCACAGGGCCCGGCCAAGCCTGTTGTAGAAGAAACCCAGTCACTTGTCTTCCTGCTGAAAGCTTTTCTAGTTATACCACAGTTTAACTAAAAAGGTTAGAGACAAATTTAAACTCCAAAGATTCTTCAGAGGGCAAGACACAACACGATGAAACTCAGATAGATAAAAAGCAGAACTCTTTATTACTCACAGCTCCTAAGGAGAGAAGGCTGCCAGGCAGGGCCACACAGGAAGTTAGGCAGGGGAAGCTAACAGCAAGCTGGAGCTGTGAGAGGCAGCTTAAGAGGGCTTCCTGTGGATCGGCTAATTTGAATAATTCCTGGGACTCAGGCTCCAGGGCCGAAGAACTGCCCTAGTTGTTTGGTATTTTGCCCTGGGGTAATTAGGGCACGTGCATAGCAGCCTAAGCACATGGGAGCTCCAGGAAAGAAATGGCTAGGGTATGGATTCAGCCTTCTCAAACAAGAGCTAACTCACCTTTAGCCATGGCCTTAAAACTGGGTATAAAACATCTCCCAAAATTATTTTACAAATAGTTATTAATAAATAGTGTTAGCCTTTTGCCAAACTATAAATACTCAGAGAAGCAACTGTGAAAAGGCAAAACAAAATAAAAACAATAAGCCAACATGGTTAATCAACAGACCTGGATTTGAGTTTTTCTGCCACTCATTTGCTCTGTGATTTCAGCTAAGTTAGCTAACTTCCCCTGTACTTCAGGCTCCTCAGCTGTGAATCAGGCATTGACATAATTTACAGGACTAATGTGGAAATTAAATGTAATCATATATATTAACAAACACACATATTTCATATGTTTATGTAAACTATAAAGTTATAAACAAAGGAATTTTCACCCCAATGACAGGTTTCATACAAATATAATGATATCAAGATATTTTTAAGGGACTGCATTCTTATCACTACAGATATACACAGCCTTCTAGCTCTCAGGGAGTGTCTTTTTACTACCAAATAGACAGAGTTATAAATTGTGGATTCTTGATATAATAGATCAAGATAGCCCCTTTCCATGTGTTATGTTCTACTGCCTTAAAATAATAAACTGCCAAGACAACATCATGCATCATACTAGAGGCAGATTATTCAGTGAAACTCCCAAGGAGAGGAACTTGCAGCTCACAGACACTAGGTTTCATCCTTTGTTATCTGATTCTTCTTTGCAATGTCCTAAATTTTACAGAGTAAGAAAAACCTTAACTTATAATAATCAGAAAAAGTATGATTCATAAAAGTACTTCACAATTCTTAGAAACACAAAACTTTAAAATTATCAGTAGTAAAAGTAGTATAAAAATAAATCATTCTGGACTTAGAAGAACTGCTTTTTGGGTGAAGATTTATAAGGGAGATCAAGACATGGGAGTCTGAATATAAAACATTCAGAATTCCCTTCCAGACACTCAGAAGTTCTCGTTTCTCAGTTCGTGTTTCTCAGGAAGCACAGTTCTTTTGATGTCAATAAAAGAGACTCAAATTGGCCTCAGCACAGATTTTTTTATCATTAAAGTTTCTTCCCTCATCAGAAATGGGTGGTCTAGAGAAGAACCCCCAAGGAAGGAAGGGACCTATCAGTTATAGCCCGTACTAGGTTCTCATATGGGTCCAAAAAGAGCTTTTCAGAAAGACCTCAAAAGTTTCCAAGACACAGAACTCTTCTCTTGTAACCTTTCTTTTTGGGAACAAGACACAGGTGAATTATTCAACTACACTTTTTTCAAAGCATTATTGTGTGTGGGGTGGAGGAGGGGGGTGGCGGAGAGAGAGAGCGAGTGTCTTGCTCTGTCTCCCAGGCTAGAATGCGGCACCATCTCAGCTCACTGCAATCTCTCCCTCCCAAGATCAAGCGATTCTCCTGCCTCAGGCTCCCCAGTAGCTGGGTGTACAGGCACCCACCACCACACCCAGCTAATTTTTGTATTTTTAGTGGAGACGGGGTTTCGCCCTGTTGCCCAGGCTGGTCTCAAACTCCTGACCTCAAGTGATCCACCCACCTCGGCCTCCCAAAGTGCTAGGATTACAGGCATGAGCTACCATGATTAACCTCCTACATTGTGTATTTTTAAATGTTTTGTACTTTTGAAATGCTATAGCCTGCATAGTCCACTTTCAGGAGAGTATCACATATAATGAAGCCCAGCACAGACAGAAATTTCTGATCGTTACTCACAAATCTCAGGTATTTAGAGGGTCTATTTGCAAGTGCATGAAAACTCTCACACTGTGTTTTCTTGGACACTCTGTTACCTTAAAACTCCTAGGAGCCTCTTACTGTCCTACTCCAAGTGCTTCTGATCTCTTAGCACTAATCTGTGTGCTAAGACCTCCCCTCTTAGTAGCCAAAACTAGGCTACATGTCCACTGTAAGCCAGTCACGGGTGAGGGAACTTAGACCACCATACTGGACTTAGACAAGTTAGAATTTACTGCTGAATCATATGGAAAATGTTGGACATTGAATGCATCCAATTCTAAAATAATCATGGTATAGGAACTCAACAGGGTATGTTAGCATTGCCATTTCTTGAGTAGTGTACGTGCTTAGCATTGTAAATATATTGTGTTAGTCAACTGTCAAATACCCATGAGGTAGCTATCTCTATGCTTATTCTACATATGAGAAAAAAATTGCAGAAAGGGTCAGTTATATGCCCGGATGGATGAGTAATACAACTGATGTCACATCCCTTTTCATGGCGGAACCAGACACCATGGCCAAGTTGGTCAGATTACAAAATGTTTGCCATTACCCGGTGCGCTGAACTTTGAAACGAAAACCCCAACAGGTATCATATCCGTTGACTCATCCCAATGAGTTGCTATTGAATCATCAATTTTCCTTCCTGGGAAATTATTGGCAAATAACCAATGAAAGTCCCTGAGCTTAGACCCCTCTCAGTTGCTCCAAAACCAACTTAGTTAGATTTACCTACGTTGGGATTGTTCAACAAAACTGCCATACAGAAAACCAGAAAGAATGGGAGGCTTGCCATGAAGTGCTGAGAACAATAGTTGTTAGGAAGAGATACCAAAATATCATTGATTCGCTGGAGAAAATGTTCCTGTTCTGATCCTCACATGCTGATACCGCAGATGGACCCAGTTTAGCTGAGGCATGCTCTGCACTTCAGCTGTTTACTTAAGCAGCACCAGGGTTCTCAGAAATAGTTGCTATGCCAACCAGCCCCAGGACTATAT